CCGGCAGCCCAGGCTGGGGGCCGAGGCAGGGCCGTTGACTTTGGGGTCGCCGGTGCCCCCGTCCCCGCCGTGCCCAGAGCCCGGTTTTATGCATGCAGAACGGGTCGTTCTGTGCGGTGTGGCTGCCTCGCTGCAAAGCGGGCTGCGCGCAGGCAGAAGGGCGCTTTTCTCCTAAAGCTGCCCTTTGGGAAACGTTCCCACCTTACCGCCTCTTGGATGACGGCGAGGACAGTGCTGGAGACCTGCCCGTCCTCCCCGTCCCTGGCCACGAAGGCTCTGCGCCACGTCATGGTGCTCCTTGGGTTTTCCTCCTCCTCTTCTTCCCCGTCTCCTCATCTCCCTGGCTTTTCCAACTCGTTTTGGTGCCGTATCAGCAGAGTGCTGCGGACAGATCATTTGCGTTGATTGTTTCTGTGTGTATTTACGTATGGTTTTATGTATGTAAAAGTGGCCTTCCCGCACCTTTCGGTGAAAGGCTCACGAGCACATGGTTTCACACTTTGCCGAGAGGGAAATAGCGGGTCCTTGACGTGTCGGAGAGCCATATAAAGCATATAAAGACCTGGTGAAATTTTCACGAGAAGCTGTGAAAACTTGTCAGATTAATGGAGGATTACTTTTCCCTTTTGTCCGTAGATCTGAGAGAATAGGAACTGTCATTGAAGTCCTTTTTTCCCTTTCATCACCAGTCACAACTGCAAAAAGTGGGTCTGTTCTCACTCCCGTGGGGACAGTGCCCTGTGTACCCCATCTGTATGCTTGCACGGTTTCCCAGCTGAAGTCCTTGAGTTTTGAATGAATGCTAGAAGCAGAGATGACTTACATACTTGGCAGCAGCGAAGATAAGTTATCTTTTTCTTTTAAAAAATAACATGTTATGCAAGCAGGTTTTATTACATTTATGGATTTTTATTATTTCCTTCTGCAGATGATAAAATAATCTTGTTGGAACCAACAGGAATGTAAATTTAAAAATTTCATGATATACATGAATTAAATGACAACATTTCTCGTAAAGGTTCTGAAAACACAGAAAAAACCACCCTTCCTATATTTGCACATCCTGTGGTAATTAGCACATGAATATTTTCCATTTTTAGTCTTTGAAAAAAATACTTTTATAGTGGTTAAAACAAGTGCATGTTTTTCCAGCGTCCTCCACAGCCTTTTTGTATGATTGCTGTTCTTAAATATTTGTATGCACGGTCGTACGTACGTGTGTTGTACCTGTGAGTTCAGTTTGTATAGGACAAATGGAGAAAACTGAAATATACATTTTAAGTGCTACAAGATTCCCTGCAGATGGGATTTTTTTGTACCACCGTAGAAAAGCAGCAGCTCTGGGGAAGAACACAGCATGTAATTCTGCATACATCACAGCCCTTCTCTATTGCTCTTACCACATCAGCTGAATGGAGAATTATAAAAATTATGTGCCTGATTCTGTAAAGATTTTTTAAAAAGAGGCTTAACTTTAGGCATACAGGTAACTTCAAAGGGAATTAAGTGAAAGTTGAAGATAGGAGTAGTTCATGACAGACAGAGAGAATGCATTAGAGAGAATGAGCTATACTAAACTTGATCCAGAAGCTTTGGAATTACATTAATTGACCTTTGTGAGCTAAACAAAAGCTTACTGGAAATGATGTTCAGAAGCTAAACCCAAGTATTTTTAAAAATAAAGCCCTGTGTAACGGATATTCCCGTTACTGAGTATCCACTGACTTGTCTTCAGGTAAAGGGTGAAATCCCGGCGCTGCGGCAGGCAGCGGGAGTGATGCCGTCGATTTTCCTGAGGCCAGAATTTTGCCCAAAACACTTACTCTCCTTCTGGCTCCGAGGTTTTTTTATTAGCTCTGACATTGTTCCTGCATCTGTGCTGTCACATTGCATGGGGCACAAAAACGCTTTAAAGTTAGCAGCGGACTTGAGCTGCAGAGCACGGCTCATTGATCAAACCGCTGAATCCATCGCGACAAAGTTTGATTAGATGTTTGATTCAAGCGTCCTGTATGGACACATCTCTTTGTACGTTCAAAATTTTGTTGGCACACCTGTTGTGGCCCGGTTTGGAAATTTTGTGGATGTAGCAAATCCTGGTCTAGCGGGGCAAACTGAGCATTGATTTTGTTTCACTGCGTCACAGCGAGCTATGTCAACTACTGCACATCACTTTGTGATCCCGCTAAAGCTGCTCTGACAAAAAGCTACCTCAGCAAGCTGTCATTTTAATGTTTTATCCATTTTCTTTCCGTGTACGTTTGCTCCACATTCCAGTGAAGCCTCATCTGGCCTGCCCACTGCCATAGGCTACAAGTCTGTAGCAAAATTCAGTCTCAAACGTGTCACATATAACGAAACAGGAAAATTCTACCAAAAACATTCTGCCACCTGATTGCCCGATTTGGTACTGACATTCCCTCCCGGTCAGGAAGAGAGGACAGGATAAGCGAGACGCTGGTGGGTGATACCTGCATACCGGCAAGACTAGACCTCTTGCAGCCAAGAGGCTTGTCCCCGCTCTTGACTGCTGCTGCTGCTGCACGCGGCAGAGCGCCCCGTGCAACCCGTCGTCCTTCTCCGCTGCAGCCAGAAGCCGGATGCCTGGGTCCATTTATTACTTTAATCTAAACGAAATAGCTGTATTGTAATACCGCAAATTAGAGGCCTTCTCTATCATAATTTTAAAGCACTTAAGCTTGTTTTATCTTTTAGCGCTTTATTCATCTAACTAGTTCAGAGTTTTAGGAGCTGATCTAGTTTCCATTAAAATCCAAGAGAAGAATTCCTTTTGTTGTCAAGCGTTATACCTCAAAAAGTCAAAACTCGTGGTGTCCACTGTAGCCTTTTATATCTTACAAATATTAACAGGTCAACCTACAGATTTTTCTCTATTGGTGGGGGAGTTTTAGTATCATCCTCATTTTACAGGATGAAATCTCTTATTCAGTGAAGTATATAGTCCTGTGCCAGTTTCAACAGAGCTGGAGGAAGCTTTCCAGGATAGACTAAGTTTGCCAAAAAGTGAAATTTGAAGTGAAAAGTATTCACAAATTCAGATTGAATGTAATGAACAGTTGTGTCAGAAAGAAAATGGGGTGAATTTCTTTTCCCAGGAAAGTTTAAATGTTTCATTTCAATATTTTCAAAATAAACTATATCATTTCGACTTTTTTAAACCAGTTACTTTCCAGAATTAACCTTTTTTTTTGTTCATGATTATTTTGAAAGTAATGCGATGAAGGGAATATTAGACTTCTCACTGTGAGAAGGAATTGTCAGTGCTTTAAGTTTCGTTTTGACATTTTTGAAACGTTTTTTTTCAGCAAGGGCTTGGGGTTTGTTGGTGGTTTAACTTTTGGTTTAAAAATGTAAACAAAATGAACATTTCCACTCTAGATCAATCAAAACAACCTGAGATGATCCAAAATGAAACTTGTCAGGGGGCTTTATGTCTGTCGCACTAAAACACTGCATGTTTTGGGATCAACCCCACCTGATTCTTTTCTCAGTTTTCAGTTCTGCCACCAGACGGAAGGAAACGCGCGCACCCAGATCCCACTCCAGCAGCGCCACAGTCCTGTTGTTTTCTGTTGACTTCTGTGAAACTACCTGTGCTTGAAGATCACCGTGTGGTTTTGCATCTCGCTGAACTGAAGCCTAAGCAAACTCCAGAAAGTCAAACTGGGAGATGCTGGCCGAGCCCAGCACAGCACTCCGGCTTCCTGGCTGTCCACTTCAGGACCCCAAATTCAAGCTATTTTGTCCTCAACAGATTTGCCCCCGAACTGTCTCTAGGACGTGCCCGGCCTCTGTAGGAAAGGTGGGGGCTGCAAGAAGAATTTTTTCATGCAGCATTTCAACATTTGCGACCCAAACCAGGAAAGCGCGTAAGGGAGGCAACAGAGGAAAGTCATGGGACCTCAGAAATGCCAGAGTGATGTTTGGACAGAGATCTGGGCTAGAATTTGGGGTCGTTCTTATGTTAGTCAAAAAAAGTGCTTCTCCCTCTTAAGAACACAGCTTCCTTTTAATAAATGCCAAGGTGGCTTCAGTTGGTGGTCAAGAGTTTGCTCATCATTTATTATGTCAGAATGGCACCTTCTAATGATGCAAAATAAGTGATAAGTGCAAGTAGGAATAATTTTGCAAAGAGGATAGTAATGGATTACTCTGTTGAGAGAACAAAGGGAGCCACAGAGATGTACATTTCAAAGTATACTTTTAAAAAGTGTAATTACCTTTTAACTTTCAAATTGTGCATGTTAAAAAGAATGATTTTAACCAGCCAAGGGAGCAAGAAACACGATCCAAAGGATGCTTACTACACACCAAAATATTTTCCACCAAACTAAGTTGTATTAACGTCACCATGTCATGTGATATGTATCTGCAGCTCACTCATACTGCCTTAATTTGTTGCTGTGTGTGACAAGTTGTAGTCTGATCTAGCCTGACACGCCATGGTATGCACAGTGCACATATATCATGACGAGACAGTTGAAAACCAAAGACAAACAGTCCCAAAGAGAGAGCAGAATAGCATGATTCAACAGGGGCCTGCGTCCATCAGAGGGAATATTTGACATGGCACACCTTCCACTTTCAAGTAAATAAATACTGATTGCGTGGTCCTGCTGGGAGCGAACAAGCTGATCCCATCCACAGCATGCAACTTTGTTTCTTTTCAACCCCTGCGCTAATTAATGTTCTTCTTACCAGCATCATTTTTGTCAATGTATAGTGAAAAGCAGGATGACGGGACACCTAAGGCGCGTGGTGGTGATAACGATGGAAACGCTTGTTGCTCTTTTTAAGCTTACTGAACAAAGAGATGGACCCAGCTGCTGCTCTGGTAACATGATGCTTCCACAAGGGAAGGTTTTCTGTTCCTGATTATGCCAGTAAAAGCATCAGCAATTCAAACCAAGGTCTTTGCAGGGATTAGGCAGCTCATGGGGATAATGTAGTTAAGGTATGTTGGAGTCTGCAGCCAGCCATGCCCAGCTAGTTCTGTTCCTCACCAGCTCTGGGTCCCCCTTCTACTGGCACAAAGCAGTCCTGGGCTGCAAACGGAGCAGTTTCGTGTCCAGGATCCTTCTGGTGGTAGGGAAGAGTTTTTCGTTATCTGGAGATTCGGGGGCAGGTTACTGCCCAGTTAAAGCAACATTATTTACATTCCAATTGCTAGCAAGTTTGGCAGGAAACAGGTGGCATATTGTCATTTAGTGAATGAAGGCGTTGGTGAGTATGACAATGAGCTAATATTGAATGGATCTTTATAAAACACCACAACAAAATACATCTTCTTTACTCATTCTATCTCAGGTATCACATCTCAGATATCTCTGGGGTCCTAGGATTCAGAGTTTTGGGGCATATCACAAATCTGATTTTCACACCTAGGAAACACACACACACTAATATAATGCAAGGGCTTTTAAACAGCTGTATTTGGGCCCATAGAAGAAAGTAAAAATCAAGGCAAACATGGCAGTAATTTGTAATGAGTTCTTCAGAGGCTGGTTTATGAAGAGACTGATGTCTGACCAAAGGAAAATTGCCTTCATTTAAGATCCCTTTGGGTTCAACATTGTAAGAGTTTAGCTGTAAAACTGGATAATTCCAATGATTATTCAAGTTTATCTTACAGAGTTCTTAAAGCTGTGTCTTCAGTGCTCTACTGCCTTGCTCTGAATAATAGAAAGATGAACTGGGCAAGTGCTGCATCTGGTTAGTGTTTCTACAGACTGTGCAGGATGATCACTCATCCGGAAAGAAACACTTTCCACCCTACGTGAGCATCAGTGGAAATGCTGAGCATGTTCAGCGCTCGTCTCTTTTTATCACAGAACAGTGACATTCTCTATGGACCTGCTCCAAAGCCCAGTCGCGGCAATGAAAGGATTCCTATTGACTCCAGTGTGACTTGGAGTGGTTCCTAAAAATGGGAACAAAGCAGCAGACTTCATAAATCTTCTGATGTGGTCCTTAAAGCAAGAATTCAGACCCCATGGGGCAAAGGTTTGTGATTAGAAAGATATTTGGCCTCTCTTTCTTCCAGAACTGAACCATTCAGGTCTTACTGAAGTTTAGTTCTTCGAGAAAAATCAGATGCCAGCCAGCACAGAGGATAGTTAGTCTGTTAAATGGTACATTATGCCTTTTACTTTTCAATATGGTGTGGGATTTGTCTAAGGCTGTCAGTGACCCTGTACTCAGGACCAGAAGAAAAAAAAGCAAAGAAAAGCAAGTGGAGCCATAGGGCTAAGAAGTGGAGCTGAGAAGTGAAACAATGGAGGGTGTGGGGGAGAGAGGAATTATCACAGCACTGTTGGCACTGAAGTGGCACTGAGAGACATTAAACTGTCATAAAACATGTGCTGGCAGTATTTCATCCTACACGTTTACCATAATGTGGACTCCTTTTTTATAGGGAAGCTTCTTGGTATGAGAGAAGAGATGCACGTCTGTGACCACATCCCACCGTTGCAGGCAGTGACAGCCGGCAGCTGCTGCTCTCTGCAATCTATTGCCCAGGTAAGGCTCCTGTCCTAGACAGTGGAGCTGCAAGAAAAGGGTTTTGGGGGGGGGGGAAGGGGGGTTAAAGGTACAAAAGCTACTGAGAACATTAGCAGGAACTGGACCTCTATGTCCCGTTTGCGCCATTGACAACAACCTTTTTGTGTCCTTGCCTAGTGGAAATTACCTTTCCCCCTCTCCCTTCAGAACTGCTGCACGTCCTCCATAACTTAGTGTTGTGCCTGAGTATGTTAAAGTACGTGGGCAGGGAAAGTCTGCTTGCTGTACAGCTTTCTGTCACGACTCTTTCAGCATTTGACTCACAAGTGTAATTTGGCTTTATCACTCCCTAAGTGCATTGTGGATGACTGATTTGTAAGGCTCACAATGGGAACCATCATGTTGCAGTGTGGAGCTTCTTTTCCACACTGCTCTATATATGTCATTCAACCTTTTAATTTGATTAGAGCATTAATTTGCATGATACTGTTTGTATTCTTCTACTGGAATATATATATACTATGAAATGTATGATGTAAGTTAATGCAAAGCTAAGGAGGCCAATAAAAGCTAGTTCCTTAAGGAGGAAGAAAAACAAATTCAGCTCAATGGCAGGGAAGTTTGGTGAGAATCCAGAGTCCTGACTCATTGTTAGCCTCAAGAGCGTCCTGACTAGCATCAACGTGTTCTGGAAGCAATGTGATTTTCCTACCGTATTAACGAAAAATAATAAAATGCAATACTAAAACAATAGGACATACCAGAAAATTTCCACTGAGAAATGGTACTTTTGTAATAAGCTCGTGTCAGAATGATTTCCACCCGGTTCGCATAATCTGAGCATATGGCAAAGTTACACAACTTCATGCCCACCGTGGAAGCTCTTTTAGGTGCTTAGACTGTTTCTTCAATAGCAAACACTTCAGAAAGCTAGGAAATAGAATCCGAAATATATTTCTGTTCCTGGGAGCCACCCAGTCAAGAGGGAGCACTAGGAATATACTGTATATTTGCAGAGAAGCTTTTAGCCTTCATGGAAATCAAAAAAAAAAAAAAAAACCTCAATGGCTTTCTACCCACGTCTCTCCATGACTGTAATCTCAAAAATATATATAATTTGGAAGTGATGGCATCCAGGAAGCTTGGCTAGTGTAAGCTCACAGTTATCTTTTACTTGATCCTGTGAAATAAATTATATGCAGCAAATCCCAACTGCAGATAAATTCTTCTCCATCTGTTTTCCTATAAGATGAAAAAAAATATGTAAAATTACTTTCATACAACAACTGCACAAGCAAGTCATGAGCTTAAAGACGAAGGAGAAGAAAGTTAGTGTTTTTTGGTGTAATGCCAAAGGTTTTTAAGATGAAAATTCTCTGAAAGTAACTGCAATAAACCAATGACTGTTAAGCTTAAACAATCCTCAAGTTAAGTTAAATTCAATTTGCTTAAATATTTTTTAGGAGCAAAAGATAATATAAATGCAGGAAAACAAAATCTTTACTTCTTAATCGTCATTTTTTTCCCACAGTGTCTCTTAAGCTGAAAGGAGGTCATTTGGTTTTTAGTAACCAGTCCAAGTACAGTGCAAAATGTATTTTAAGGCAGAGCTAGAGTTCACAGCTCACTAGCAAAGGGGTTAACAAAAATATAAAACTGCATGAAAGGGAAAGCACTTGATGCCTTGGGAAGTATAGGTTTACCTGTCAGGAACAAAAAAGTTGGTCTGTATCCATTGTGTAGACACAGGCTAAACTCAGCAAGGGCTGCACAGTAACAAACAGCTAAAAACCTGATGAAAGACAGTCAAAACTTAACAGTAAACTTCTCAAATGACAGGTTTTTTTTTCTTTTAAGGAAGATTTTGCTACATTTGAAAACAAAATAGGTAGAACCTTGCAATTAATGTGAATCCATAATAGGGATAAATAAATCCATACCTTTATAGTAAAAGTGACAGAAAGTTGTTATAGAATTATAATTATAGCTTGTAGGTCACTTAAATGCCTTGCACGGACAGTTAGAAAAGGGTATATGACCATGCTCTATGCATAATAGCCCAAATAAATAGTGAGGTTGTAGAAGTAAGCCTAATGAATAGGTAACATTATTAGTGGGACAAAGAGAGTGACAGTGACAGAAAGAGCAGAACTGATCCAATTTTTCAGGTATATGGAGTGCACAAGTATTGCAAATATTATATGGGCTGTCATGACTCATAGGGGCCTAAAAAACCTGTTTGATAGTTTCTTCAGCCTCTCTTGAAACACAGCATGTTTATCTGTGACATTGTAGGTAGTGAAGATTTTTTCCACTTCTATATTTGTTCTGTTTTTCAGTCCCTGTCTATCAGAAATGCTCTATCCAAAATCCAAAACCCCAAAATACGTATAGGAAAATGATCCTAATGTCAAATGTAACCATGAGCAATTAGCCAATCCATCAGAGAGAAAACAATCAAGCCACATCCCTCCCTCTTGTCTCAGGAGACTCACATACATTTAATAACAGGCCACCAAGAGCATTTAAAGGAAAGGGAAGAGGGGAGGGGCTATGAGTTTTGCCCTCATTCTAGAAAAATGTTAAAAAATGTTAGAAAAATTGTCTCCAAACGTGGTAGTACAAGTGTGACAGCCAGCACGTAACAGTTCAAATGAAGGGTCTCAGTTACACCCAAGAACAGCTGGAGCCTATTGCACCTTTTAAAGGTGGTGTGAACTCTTTAAAGGCTCTAACAGCCCCCTTCTGCAGCTTCTTCAGTTTTCCTGCTGTCCTTCAGGTGTACCTTCTGCATGGTTTCACAGCCAGCTTGTCCCGGAGAAATCATGGGAGAATGGGATCAGGTTTACTTCTAAGCCAGGCATAACCCTCTGCAGCCACGAACAACACAGAGACTGTACCAGCACCCAGGTAATCTACCCCCCATTCAAGTGTGAAATCCTAGCTGTGCTCCTCTGGGAAGTATTTAGGGGACAGTGGTATGGAAAGCTGGTCTGGATTGTCAGGTGACAATCTTGCACCAAGGACACTGGCATAAGTGTCCCTGAGTTAACTGGTGTGGCAGCCATGGAGTGTGTAATGCTTGCCAGTGAGCTGGCCTGGACTACTCATCTGCACAAAGCTAAATATGTGCCTGGCTGCAGGATAAGGAGCTTTGTCTTTATACCTTGTGACCTTAAAATCTAACTTTTGCATATTAGTATTTTATTGGCATGGTTTATTTCTGTGTATGTTTTGCTATGGGTGAATGTATTGTTGTGAATCCACCTGAAATTATCTTTTGCAAGTGTGTTGGTTTCAGTTTGGAAGAAAGCTGCTTGTGTATGTACTGCTGGGCACTTCTTTTGTTCATTTTACTTTGTCAGAGGTTGACAGTAGATTAGCTGCAGTTTTAATGTGATCATTCCTGAAATTGCTTAATGCTTGGAGTAATGTGTGGGTGTTCTTTTTATGCCTTTTCTTTAAATAGTAAGTGAAAACAGTAATACAAGAACAAAAAATACACCACGAGATTCTGTTCCTTTTCTGCCATTTTCATCTTTCATTCACCTAATGAGCTTGTTTTTGTGCTCTGTCTTTCAGTCCCCAGTCTCTATTAACAAGTTCTCCCTAGATTTTATTGATTCTCCTTGCCCACAGTGGCCTTTTTTAATAATTTATTCAATGTGTTTATTCTTCTGAAAGTACAGGCTGCTAAGAGAGGTTGTGGAATTGTCATCATTGGCTCAAGTAGACACCCATCTAGTAAGGATTATTTAAGGATAAGGAAATCAATCCTTCTGTGATTCAAGGGGAGGAGGGAATGGATTAACTGACCTGGTAGAATAGCCCCTCTAATTCAAATTATTCTGTTTTTTTTGTTTTAAATTCTTTTTGATCTCAATTTTTTAATTTTTTTAGATAATGTTCTCTTGTGTTCATGTTCTTTGAAAGTATGAAGAATTTGCATGAACCAATTTTTATTAGTTCCCTTGAGAATGCTAAAAACTTCAATTAGGTCACTGTGAAGTCTCTTTTCCAGAGTGAAATTCCTTAATCTTCCTTAATAACGTAAATCTTTGAGAACTGATGTTGTTCTGCAATGCATTTTCCTCAAAAGTAATTATATACCAGCTAAGTTGCTACATAATAGTCAGGGCTGTGTTGTGCTCTGAGTATAATCAGTCCTTGGGTTTTACAGAGCCTCTTAGCCCTGCTGCACTTGAAACACATGACTGGCAGTGGAGAGGTGCGCTTGGGAGAGGTGAACTTCCAGTTTCAAAAGGACAGTGTTTCCTATTTACAGAGAAACCTCTTGCAAGGTAAACTGATATTTTGGCTGTATTTTTTAGGAGATCTGCTCAACAGTCATCTTAGGATTTTTTTTTTCTTAACCACAATGGGCAAGAAAATCCATAAGCCAAATATGAATTAACAGGCTGAGGAATGAGGCAAGCTCTGTCTGTCTGTCGTTCTTCTCATGTATCTATTATTATCTTTGCCCTGGGTTTGCTGTGTTTTTCAGTGGACTGCCTCAAGCTGTTTAATATCGGAAGTATTCAAATCCGAAATCCTAGTATTGATCCCAGTGCAGTAGCAAGTCAGCCTCTGTCAAGCCAGACAAAGATTCCCTTTTGTGGCTGCCCTCTTGCTGTTTCCTCCTTCCCTTATGTCAGTTTTTGGTTTGTTACCTAACCCCTCCTAAGCATTTCTCGCTTCTGGAATGATGGGAGAAGAGCCATCCAAATCACCTCGAGAAATGCACCGCTGCCCCGCTGTGTGCTGCAGCGAGCACCCCCTCCATGCGTAGCAGGTGACCGTAGTGGTAAGTGCTCTCTTCTGTTTGCCTCTGTTCCCTGACGGGTGAACTCCCAGGGCTGCTACCTCAGCCTCTGTCAGGGGCAAAGAGGCCCCTCAGGCCAAAACATGAAAATAAATTTAAAGCCAAAACCTACTGTTCCTTGAAGAGCTTTGATGCAACATGAAGAACAGTTTTATCTTGCCTAAAAGCACACATT